CAGGAGAGTTTAAGTTTACACGCTCCTCCCTGAAAATTAATAGAACTTCTGAATGTATCTCACTTAGGTTGATTGTAGTGCTTCAGTTAGCACACTGGATATCAGCATGAAATCAGTATTTGTCAGTATTGTCATTATTTAATAAATTATTTAATAAAATATTTCTTATATCTGCTGACATATTTTTACATACATTCTGCATTGATTTGTGATGTCATGATTTCTAATTTAAAAATGGTTGTTGCTGAGAATTTGCAAGAACTGGCTGCAAATGGGCTGTCGCAACAGCAGTGTTACTTGGTGCTTTAACCATTTATCACATTATATTATTACTACTGTATTGCAGATAGTAAGACTGAGACTAAGGGCTCTTTGAGTTCAAGACAGAAGACTTCATTGTCCACAGCTCAGCCTTTACATCAGTACAGAACGCTAACTCCCCTTATAGTGTTCTCTGTGTGCAAAGCTTGGCTGGCAAACTGTAAAGGCAAAGGTGCTTCAACAGGCATGAAACTGGCAATGAATGCAAATAATATTTTAAAATACATCTCAGTTGAACCTTCCCCTTTTTAAATGACCATTAACTGGGTATTTGTTAGAAAATAATACTTTGTTTTTTGTTCTTCCCCCCAGGAGTATGCAAAAATGGTTCAGGTGTTGCAAGCGTACTGTATCATTTCAACCGGTGTTCGAATTAAGTGTACCAATCAGGTTGGCCAAGGCAAGAAGCAGCTTGTGGTGGGCACCAGTGGGAGCCCTTCCTTAAAGGAAAACATTGGGTCAATATTTGGACAAAAACAGGTAATTGGAAAGAACGAATTTAATTAGTAGGAGAGAAATCATCATAACTTGTAACAGCGACTAGAGAGAAATAGACTGAGTACTGGATTTCTTTTGCACGGTATCACTCAGCAAGGCGTAGTGGTTGAGAGTGGCAGACTCTAATCTGGAGAACCAGGTTTGATTCCCCACTCCTCCGCATGACACCTGGTGAGTGACCTTGGGCCAGTCACAGTTCTCTCAGAACTCTCTCAGCCCCACCTACCTCACAGGGTGTCTGTTGTGGGGAGAGGAAGGGAAGGCCATTGTAGGCCACTTTGAAACTCCTTAGGGTAGAGAAAAGCAGGGTATAAAAACCAACTTTTCTGCTCTAGGCATTCTTCTTCACATTAAAAATAATTGCCCGAATACCAGAACTATTGAAAGCATAATTCATTCTATCTTCTGCAGTGTCAGTACAGAAGCAAAATAAAATTCTCTAAGATTTCTTTGTATGGCAGCCCTAATTGATTTTCATAATTTAATCTGTCTTCACAGAATTCATTATGCAGGGGGAAAGACTGTGGGCCAGACTTCTGCGCTTAGAATTCCAGATGCATAATTTGAACTTTAAAAGCTGCTATCGGGAACACTGTCTGGACTGGGGCAATGGTGCTGGGGGGGGGGGTTAGCCCCTGCCTACACGTTACCCAGTTGCTCCCCCCAGCTGATTAGGTAGGGAAAAAGAGGCACAATAGGTGTGGCCCCAGGGGTTAAAGTAACACTGGTCTTTTTGATTCTGGATGCAATGTGGAAGTAGGAGTTTACCTGCCCCCAGTCCAGAGTGGGCCTATATGGCTGGGGTTTTTTGTGTCTAATGACATAGAGTTGCAGTCCTCTAGTGCCATGTATTGTTTGGGTGTCTAAAGGACATTAGATAAAATGGTGTAAGACAGGAACAGGTAGAGGAATTAGAAATACAGAAAGTATTAAACTTTTTAAAATCTTCTCCTAACCATGGTTGTTTGTGTTTTTTTCAGCTGCAAAGCTTGATTCCTTTTGTTCAGCTGCCCCCTAGTGAAGCTATCTGTGAAGAGTACGGCTTGAATTCTGCTGACATGCCAACCGATCTTTATATGTAAGTTGACAGTCATAAAGTATCAATATCAGAACAGCTCTTGGATGTTTTAGCAATGCAGTCCTAAGCGGAGTTGCACTCTTCTACGCCGGTAGATTGGGAAGGGTGTAAGGATTGCACCGGAAGAGATGGTTTTAAAAAATCCTGGGTTTAAGGAGTATTGATCTTTATTCATTTCCATTCAGAAAATTCAGAAAAATAGAGGATATGTCTTGCAGCATTCATCTATATCCTAAGGGCAAGTGGATCAACAGAATGAATGTTTCAATCCGTATTCCCTGCTTGCCTTTCAACGTTCCATCTGTTTAGACTCAGTATAATAGGATATGGAATATTATGGAAGCAGATAAAGTTTCATCATACTTAGTGGCAGGGTTTTCCATTCCCTTTTATCTCCAACTTGCAGGAAAAAGTAGCTCTCTTTTCTTGCTATACTCTGGTTTAACTGTTGATTCAAACAAAAGCAAAGGCAAACTAAGTCTTCTCTCTACAGTTTAGAATTTATGCACGCAAACACCATAGTTTTCTCTCTTTGTAGTTAAACTTTATTACAAACAGTTGCATCAAAACAATGCTTGATAGTTTTGGTGACCGGAAATAACATAACAACGACTCCCTCCCAGAACCAGGAAGCATCTACAGACTTCTCTTCGTTGTTAGCAAATGCACTGCGCCCTCTAATGGATCAGATGACTACTCTCAACACCAAACTGGATAATGTGCAGAAACAGTTAAAGCAGATGGACAAGAGAACCACAGCAACCGAGAAAACGTTGAAAAAGATGGAAAAACAGACTGAGAGTATTAATAAAAGAGTGGACGAAGCAGAGGAGAGATCCTCGGATAAAACCCAACTAATACAGCTCCAGCTGGAAAGATCCATGTATGTTCTACGTTTCCATGGAATACCTGAGGATAAGAATGAGGACTTAAAGGAACTCTTGGTGGTTGCTTTGGCCCCACTAATGGATTATAAACAAGAAGACTTAATTAAGGAAATGGATGTGGCATACAGGACTTATCGGGATTTTATAAAGGAAAATAAACTCTCAGGGGAAATCTACTTAAAATTCACAAAACGATCAACCAGAGAACTGGTGCTAAAGTCAACAATGCGGAAATCCTTAAAAATCAAGAATAAAGAGGTAAAATTTTTGAAAGACATCCCATTTGAAGTAAGAAAACGGAGGAAACTATACAGAATGCTTACCCTCTCCCTGCAAAAAAAGGGAACACAGTATAGATGGCTATTCCCAGAAGGGTTGAGTTTTAATTACCAGGATAAAAAAATATATAATTGACTCTGTTCCAAAAGTGGAAAGATTTATGGATCAAATGTTTAATGTAAAAAAGAAGCAAAAGGAAAAGAATTTAAAACTGGATGTGGAGGAAGAAGAAGAGGAGTCCTACTCATCAGAATCATCTGAATCGGAGAAAGGAGAGGCCGCTCCCAAACTGCAGAAAATGAAGAACTCTAAGAAGAAAAGGCTCTAAAACTAAAGCATGAGTGCTAAGGGCAGTAATTGTGCCAAGCTAATAACTTTATATCTTTATAATCGAACTAATCTCTGCATAACCTATACCAATAGGTTAAAAAGATCTATTTTTTGAGCTTTTCAGATCGTGATTTGTATTAGTCTTTACCCTATCCCCATATCCAGTAGGAGATTTAGAATAGAATTGTAGCTTTCCTTCCCCTATCCAGTAGACTATATGTATCTCCCTGACCCATTTCCCATAGTAATAGTGATAGGGCATTAGTATTCCTTTCCCCATTCCATATATGTAGTGTGTAGAAAATGCAAAAATAAAAAAATTCCCCTTTGGGGGGGTCAAAACCCCCCCGAAACAAACCAGTGCTTGATAGTTTTTACTCTTGTCACTGATATCCATCTGTATATAGTTTTTACTGCATTTATATCATGTTGCTATAAGTTCAAGTTGTATCTTGGCTTATTATAGACTTAGCATATTGGCATGATACAACCTATAATTAAAATGTCAAAATAAACGTTTTTTTAAAAAGTGAGGGGGGCCTTACAGTTCTATAGCTGATATGGAAAGGACCACCGCAGTAAAGTTTGAGCCTTCCTGTCTTTGTGTGTGTGTTCTTCCCTTGGAGCTTTCTTCTGGAGGGTTTGGGTTTTGGCACCTGGCCATTGGGTGACAGAGTGTTGGACTGGATGGGCCATTGGCCTAATCCAACATGGTTTTTTTATGTTCTTATTAATACATTGACTTTAAACAGTATCACAGGCTTTGTTTCCCGCTGTGATCATGGCGTTGGGAGGAGTACGACAGACAGACAATTCTTCTTTATTAACCAGAGGCCTTGCGACCCAACAAAAGTAAGATTTTCTGTATTAACTTTATTACTTCTTAAAGGTCAAACTATTGCAAGTCCCCATCACCACCACTGTCTGCATCTTGTCTGGCTTTCTGCAAGACTGAATTATTACAAATAATGCACAGAAATATCTCTCTGGTACTTCTTTTAAATCAAATCAAGAACCTTTATTAGGCATTTGTTGTGAATTGCATAAGAGGATCACATGACATCAAGAAATGACTCAAAATGAATGATCGTAAATGTTAAATATATTGGTTTTTCTTTTCTGGGCAGGTTTCCAAAGTTGTGAATGAAGTGTACCACATGTATAATAGACACCAGTATCCCTTTATTGTTCTCAACATATGTGCAGATTCTGGTGAGTCACCCACGTTTCTCGGGGTGGGGTGGGGACTTATGTAAATCCACATGTTATCTGTGCTATGGAATAGCATTTTTGGATTCCAACTGAAAGTAAATCTCACTGATTCCAGTGACTCTTACTTCCAAGTAAATATGTGTTTTGTTTTGTTTTGTTGGACTTTGTGATGTGAGTTGGTGCAATTTTTGCTCTTTGGGCGTGTTAGTCTTAAAACTAACAGTGTTGACAGGAAAATTTTTAAACCCAGAAATTGATTTCTGTACCAAGTTAAAGTAGTCTGGCAGAAAGAATTTAATGCAAAACCTCCTTGTTTCTCTCCTGTTCCTTTTCCTGTTAACAGTTTAGCACAGCTATGAATGCAGGCAGGATCAGGGCCACTATTCAGAACTGACAGAGTAGCCGTGAATAAACAACTGATCTGAGATATTCTCAGTGCCATCCTAAGGAGAATTACACCCTTCTAAGTCCATTGAAGTGATGTGGTTTAGAACAGGGGTCCCCGACGTGGTGCCCATGGGCTGGGGCCATGTAAGGCTTTTGCTCAGTGAGGCTTATGATTGGCTGTGTAGATTTTCTAAAAATGTTGCTGTGGCGATCAATTTGGGGCTGGCTCCGCCTCCTGCAGCAGCCACTTTGTGGCAGCCATTTTCTTGCTGTGCCTAGCATGCCATGGGAGAATTCCAAATGTGCCCACAGGAACAAACAGGTTGGGGACCCCAAGTTTAGAAGGATGCAGCTCTGCTTAGGATTGTGCTGCCTGTTACAAAATCGTATGTATGGACCAGAGAGCTTTTTTTAGTAGAAAGAAGAAAAGCTGTCTTTTCCTGTGCTTTAGGAAGCGTTGACATCAATGTGACACCTGACAAAAGGCAGATAATGCTGCAGGAAGAGAAATTTCTGTTGGCCGTTCTGAAAACCTCTTTGATGGGAATGTTTGGTAGTGATGTTAACAAGCTTGTCATCAGTTGGAAGCTACCAGATGCCGAAGGTAGGAATGGCAGAAGAAACTGAAACAAACCTTTTTTCCTTGTTAACATTTAAACTTAAAAAAAATGCATTGCTAAGTATTCAGCTAGTTGAAGTATGTCGGCTTTAGCTGTGTTAGCCCCATGGACTCGTTAGATGACATTTTTGATAGAGCAAACTCGGTTCACGTGACTAATTATTAGTGTATTTAAGATACCACCGGCAAACCATCAGATCAGAAAATTATTCTTTTGCAAGTGAGCAAAAAGCTGCGCTGTCAGTGAGCCACTGTAGCATAGTGGTTATTTAGTACCTTTTTATCTTGTCTTTCTCCAAAGAGCTCAGAGTAGGGTACTTTGGCCTCCTGCCCTCTGTTTTACTCTCACAACAACCCTGTAAGGTAGGTTAGGCAGAGCGAGAGACTCTCAGACCCAAGAACAAAGTTTGAGTCAAGTGGCACTCTGAGATCAACAAATTTTTATTTAAAGTGTACGCTTTCGTGTGCAAAACACCTTTCTTCAGACAAAATGAATAAAATCTCAAAAGCTAGTTACAGGGAAAAAGAGGGTGGGGTAAGCAACTTACGAGAGGCCACTCAGAGCCCAGATGCAGCTGCAGAGCTGAAATTGGAATGGGTGGCTGGTAGGGTCAATGGATGGCAGCATATTAGCATGTCAGTGCCAGAGTTAACAAAGAGGCGTGAGAATGAAATTGGAATCCAGCAGCACCCCCAAGAAAGACAAGCTCAACCCTGTGTACATGTGAGAACAGAGACTCAGCCTGTGTACACTTCTTCACATACGTATCAGATCCAAGGTCACTCAGTTATCTTCACGGCAAAGCGGGATTTGAACTTGGGTCTCTCGGATCTTAATCAAGCACTCTAGCTAGGACCTGGGAGAGCTTTGTTCAGATGCCCACTCTGCCATGGGGCTTGCTGAGCGACTTTAGATCAATTTCTGTTCCTCAACCTCTGACTCATCTTACAGGCCTATTGTGAGGACGACGTAAGGGCAGCAGAGAACTGTGTACACAGCCCTGAGCTCTTTGAAGGACAGGTCTTAAAAAAATAACAATAAGTTTTCACAGTTTGCCACTGTTTTTGCAAATGAAGGATCTGAATCCTTTTCAGACTCTTGGTTTATATTTCCAAGTTAATTTTTTAAACGATACCTGAACACTGTTCTTTATTTTCTTAGGAATCTTTAAGCCAGGGCTTCAAGATGAGACAGAAATGCCTTGCTTGGAAATGCGCAGTTCCTTGTCTCCAAATCCAAAAAGTGCAATGACTGTAGCCAAGCTTAGAGAGTCTTTCTCTCTCCGTCAAGAGACAGAGACCAGAGTTCAAAGTTTTGAAAATACCAAGCAGCAGTGCAGTTCCCCTGGGCAGAGACAACTACTGAAGTTTTTTAGCGTTTCAGGATCTCCAAATAAGGAGACTGGTTCTGGGAAGAAATCTACACGTGAAACTGATATGGAGTCAAGCAAGCCCCTGCTTCCTCATGGAAATACCAAGAAATTTGCAGGAGAGACGGACTCTGGATGCGGCAGCATCTCTGTGGAATCCGACATGGGTCTGAGCACGCCAGAGCTCGGTAGTTGTTTCAGTAGTGAAAGTGCAGTCAGTTCCCCTGATGAACAACCCCATGTTTCCAAAGAAGAAATTCAAAGGGAAGCTCTTGAAATGAATGGACAAACACAGAGGTCAGAGTGTGATTTGAACCCAAGCAAAAAGCATGCGTTAGCCCTGGAGGTCACCTGTTCTTCCCCAGATGTGAAGCGTCGGAAGATCACTCCGCCTCTGTCACAGGCAGGAAGCTCACCAGAGAGGAATGATGCTCAGAACTGTGCCGGTTTATCACAGTATGACGTACCTTTGGAAGTTGAAAAGAAAATCACAACGCTGGAGTTTTCTATGAGTTCGTTGACGGACAGGGTGAAGAAACTAATCCAGCGACAACAGGAGAAGGCAGAAGTGCTGAATTACAGAAAATTCAGAGCAAAAATTAGCCCTGGGGAAAATAAATCAGCAGAGGATGAATTAAGAAAAGAAATAAGGTATTTTGGGGGTATTTGCAGTGCTTCTGTTAGCTAAATACCTTTGTGGCTGAGGACATGTTCTGTTCACTGTTGTTAAGAGAGTCCATGGTGGATAGGAAACACATACAGAATTTAATTTAACAAATGTTGCTCATAGACCGAGTCTTCTAGTTCTGTTGTCTCCCAGCTGCCCCTTACCAGGGGTAGGCCAGGGATCCCCAACTTTTTTGAGCCTTTGGCCAATTCTGGAAGTCTGACGCACAGTAGTGGGCACAACCACAAAATGGCTGCTTTAGGAGGCAGAGCTAACCATATGTCAGGAAATGAGGTCATGCATAACTCCCATGGTAATTGGTTCAGCATTTCAATCAGAAGCTCTGTTTAACTGGATGCCTTATAAAATGAACCTGTCGTTTAAAAATATTTCCTTGGCTGCACACAGCTTACCTTCGGTTGCACAGAGGAAATCCTTGGGCTGTAGTGGCAGCTTTTACCAAAGCAACTTAAAAAAAATCTGCATAGTTGATCAGATCTCCAGCGGCCAATCAGAAGCCCTGCTGGGCAAAAGCCTTACCTTGGCCTGCTCACCTTCTAAAAACACTTAGTGGGTGCCAGGAAAGGTGTCAATGGGAGTTGTTGTGCCCATGGGCACCAGGTTGGAGACCCCTGCTCCAGGCTGTCCAGCTCCTCTGTGACATCAGAGCAGCTAAGCCAATGGCAATTGAAAAGGACGTTATTCTCTCTGCCAACCACAGGTTCACCGTTACATACAAAAAAAAAAGTAATTTGCTGTTTAACAGCACTTGCAGTCCAGAGTTGCAAACATGCTAATGGAATTAGGTAGGAGAATGAGTTGACAACCAGGACGTCCCTGGTTCGAATCTTGCCTTTGCCATTAACTCACTAAGGTGGTCTTAGACACACCACGGTCTGCCAGCCTCAGCCCTTCACTCCGTTGTGTGGGTAGCAATAATGCTGACCTCCCTTACAGGACTGGTGTAAAGGTTACTAAGGTCACTTATCTCAAATGTCCCAATACACATGAAGATGTCCAATACATGATTAAAATTATTGCTAGTATTTAGATATACTATAATTTATTTTTAAAATTATTTTATTAACAGTGTTCATAAATAACAGCAATGTTTATATGTACTATAACGCCTTTATAAATAATAGCAACATTTATATGTAACATAGTGTGTCTGAAAAACACACATAAAAACATGTTCCCTTTTCAATACTTGTTTCTTGTCCAGAGAATTAATTTCTTTATAAGATTTTCTGAAATATTTCCTACTAAGGAGAAGAAGAAATCTTGTTCCGGTATGGGAGCATATAACCCACTAGTTTTTTAAAAATTTGTACGCAGTAAAGAGATGTTTGCCAAAATGGACATCGTCGGTCAATTCAATTTAGGATTTATAATAGTCAGATTGAACTCTGACCTGTTCATCGTTGACCAGCATGCTTCAGACGAAAAGTACAACTTTGAGATGTTGCAGCAGCATACCATACTACAAGGACAGAAACTGATTGCGTAAGTATCTCCTGGGCAGATGAAGAATCTGAGTTGGACAAGAGGCCAATACACTGTGGTAATCCCCAGGAACAGATAGGGGGACCCCTCCCCCCAGAAAAAAGGGAGTCTGCAGCAGGAAGGAAAAAATGCCAGTGCAGTCTGGATCCAGCCCATGATGGTCACCAGGCTAAACATAGGTAACCAGGAACTTGTTAGGAAATCATTCGCCCTAAAGTGCATTACAGACTTCCAGTTGATACTTCTGGTGTTGATGAACTTGTGTCAAGATCTGTCTACAGGAATGAAGCAGACTTGATCAAGCCCGTTTAAGTTGTTCTTTCTGTTGTTGCATAATGAAATTTTGGCCATATATGCATCCCCCCTCTTTCTACTTTCTCAGACCTCAGAACCTTAATTTAACTGCTGTCAATGAGAGCGTGTTGATGGAAAACCTGGAGATTTTCAGAAAAAATGGATTTGATTTTGTCATCAATGAAGGAGGTATGTCTCTGCCTGGTCGTTTTAAGCTTGAACAGGAGGCAAACTTTGATATGCGATATGCAGTGCATAGGGTCTATTTAGGTGTTGGTGTCAGACCCTGATGCTGGGAAAGACTGAAGGTCAAAGAAGAAGGGGACGGCAAAGGATGAGATGGTTAGACAGTGTTATCGAGGCAATGAAGATGAAATTAAGCAAACTCCGGAGCACAGCAGAGGACAGGAGGGCCTGACGTGATGTGGTCCAGGGGCCGCAAAGAGTGGGACTCAACTGTGCAACTGAACAACAACAAATCAGTTTCATTTAGATTTCTCCATCAAGGCAGTATAATGCTGTTAGTAACGGTGTTAACCCCCCCAGATCCTCCTATCCAAATCCCCTTTTCCACCCAAAACAACAAAATGTTTTCTTGTTTAAGTGGCTTTTGATACCTTTGCATTTCTAAGACTTTAAAATGTATGAGGTTCAGACCAATGTTCAGGGATTCAATAGCTGCAGTTTGCATGGATATGGCAGTCTGGTTCTCCCCCGGTCCCCAGATTATTGAAGCAGTGGTTATAAGCACCATACTAACAGGCACTTGGCTAGCTTTTTAGTCACACCTCATTGTTTGGAAAAATATTATAAAAGGCAGATAGCATACCAAGTAAGTTTCCAAAGTCAAATGCCTTTGTACATCCTAACTTTATAAATTTTATTCTGAACATTCAGGTTTTAGCTACAAGTGGGAGTTGTCCTGCATTCACATATAGACCAACATATAACGTTGCGTAAGTTTCTGTATTCAGCATGCCCTTGCTTTGATAAATCAGCTGTTAAAACAGTCATTTTAAACCCTTCCAGCACCTGTAACCCAAAGAGTAAAGCTCATTTCGTTGCCAACAAGCAAAAATTGGACTTTTGGCCCCCAAGATATAGAGGAGCTGATTTTCATGTTGAGTGATTGCCCTGGGGTGATGTGCAGACCTTCCCGAGTGAGGCAGATGTTTGCTTCTCGAGCGTGTAGGAAGTCAGTAAGTATTGCAGTGATATCACTGTGTGAATAGACTGTACTGTGCCTCGTATCTCTGTCCTGTATTTATAGGATGTATAAATAACTTGTAGTAGTTTGAACACATTAGGCTGCCTTGTACTGAACAGACCATTGGTCCTTCAAGGTGCATATTGTCTACTCAGACTGACAGCAGTTCTCCAGTGTGTCAGATAGAGGTCTTTCCCATCACCTGCTACCCGATCTTTTAACTGGAGCGCCAGGGATTGAACCTGGGACCTTCTGCATGCCAAGCAGGGGCTCTACCACTGAGCCTTGGCCCTTGTGTGTAATGCACAGTTAGCTTGACTGTATTCAGTTTAGTTGGAGAGCATATTTCTGTTCAAAACTTTATTCATTCCCCAGTTTTACTGGTCAGCAACATGGAAGCTGCTGAAAGGGACATGATGGAATCAACCAAACACACAATAACAGCCTTGAATAATATAAACAAAATCTGTATTTTGCAAAAATATTTATAGTGATATAAGATAAGCTATCAAAGTGTGTAATTACATTACAGTCTTAAAGGGACCGAGCCTATGAACCATTTTCTTTATGCTGTAAGAACAGAAGGAACCATTCTCTTTAACAGCCAAAGATAAGTCCTTCGGAGCATGAAGACATCAAGGTTAGTACTACACGACAGGCCTATTTCGAATCGATATCTTTATCAAGTTGTTAGTCTTCATAAGGCTTGCGGGGCTTCAGCTAGTTTCCAAGAATGCGCAAGCGCACAGTAGCAAGCATCCCTAACGACAAGCATGAGATAGCCACTAGTTATTAAGATTGTATTTCAGCAGGGTTTATGTCCCGCTTGTAATTGTATATCTTTTAATGTAATTACGCACTTTGTACTTTATTTGCAGTTTGCATGATAGCTTATCTTATATCACTATAAATATTTTTGCAAAAAACAGATTTTGTTTACATTCTTCAAAGGTTACTGATATTTTTGCGGTTGATACTATTATTGGCAACCTTCTTGCTTGTTTGCTCGAAAGGGATGGGATGGCAAGAGACCTTCCATCCCCCTTTTATTTGTCTTTTTGACCTGGGGGGGGGGGTCAGTAGCCAGAGGTCTCTGGCCCCCTGAGCATTGCAAACTATGCAATTGGGAAACAGAGGCCCAGAGAAAAGTAAAACTGGCAATGCAATCCTGAGGAAAGTTACACCTTTCTAAACCCACTGACTTCAGTGGAATTAGAAAAGTGTAATCCTGTTTAGGGCAGCACTGTTAGTTTACTGTAGGGGATACAGACGGAGGGGCTGTCTTCCCGGAATGACCAGGGCTTCTTCATTGGAGACTAGTTCTTAAGTAGTAATTCTGTGTCTTGGCTGTAATGCTTCAGACTAGATTGGGGGGGGGGAATTGTCTGCTCATCCATTCAAAGGGTAACAATAAAGGAAGAAGAGGAGACTGGATTTGTACCCTGCCCTTCACTCAGAGAGCGGCTTACAATTTCCTTTCCCTCCCCCTCCCCACAACAGAAACGCTGTGAGGAAGATGGGGTTGAGAGAGCTCTTTCAGGGACTGCTCTTGAGAGAACAGCTCTGAGAGAACTTGTAACTGACCCAAGGTCACGCCAGCAGCTGCATGTGGAGGAGTGGGAAATCAAACCCGGTTCTCCGAGATTAGAGTCCACACTCTTAACTGCTATACCAAACCAAAACATAGTAAACTGGTTCCCAGGTAGCAAGGTTGTGGCTTAGCCTTCAACCTAGTTTTCTCTCTGCACAAGATTTTTCTGTATGAAGCCTTGTAAGCCATGATCCCTAGGTTGAAAGTGGTACAGTCCAGACCAGGGGTCTCCAAGTCTTTTTGAGCCTGCAGAAACCTTTGGAATTTTGAGAGGGGGTGGTGAGTACCACTCCAAAATGGCTGCCAAGGGATGCAGAGCCAAATTGAATAGTTCCCTCCTTACACCTCTGGAAAGGAAGAAATCTTGAAGAGGAAATGGAACTACCCACTGACTAAGGAATGCCCAGATGCTTACCGGTCTTCCTTATCCTCTGACTGCAAAACCCTTTAATTTGAATGAGGGCAGCCAATAACAAGGCCTGCCTTACAGTGGCCCTGCCCACTTTCTCAGATGCTTGGTGGGTATCAAGGGAAGTGCTAGTGAGTGTCATGGTGCCCATGGGCACCACGCTGGGGAACCCTGGGTCCAGACATTCGCCTACAAGGATAACAGAATTAAATGTGGCATTTTTTGTTACAGTTTTTTCTCTCCACCTTCCTTCCCCAGATCATGATTGGAACAGCGCTGGATATAAAGGAGATGAAGAAACTGGTCACCCACATGGGTGAGATTGAGCACCCTTGGAACTGTCCGCATGGAAGGCCGACCATAAGGCATATAGCCAACCTGGATATGGTTTCACAAGAATAGCAAGCCTTTCATCTGCCTTCTAAAAACCCAAACATTTACTTCATTGTGACTAATTTTGGAATTCTCTTTGATCATGAACTTGTCCCCAAGGCTAAAGCTTTTAAACCTCAATTTTGTGTAGCTAATTTTTTAAAAAATCCGCTTGATTATGAAGGCAGCCGTATCCTGTAATGGTGTGTGTGACAGTGGTGTGTGTGAAAGATCAATGTTCTGTTCCCTGGTCTTCTCAGCAGTGTGCCAACATAGCCACAGAATCTTCAGATCCAGGTCTCTGTGGCACAGGGCCCCCAGTTCAGCTCAAAGTCTTACCCGTTGCATCAGCGTAAAAGAGCTTTTATTCATGTCCCTCTGCAAGAGTACAGACCCTTTGCTTCTCTTTGTTCCCATTTTGCTGGGTCCAGGACCAGCTCAAGCTATATTGCAGCATTTTGTGAAGATTTAATTTTACTGCCTTCATTTCATATTATTTTGTACTGAAGATGTTGGGAGGATGAGGGGCTGTGAGCTTTCTTCCCCAGTTCCGCTTCCTTTTCCTCTTTGACATGAATGAATGCCGTGAGAAGGAGCTGCAGTTGGTAAAGGGTGGGGGGATATGTGCTGCTCCATCCCAAAATTCTGGAGTGGGGGGGACACCGCTGCACTCTGCTTTTGAAGGCTTTCTAGGTTCTGACAAATTCTGACAACTCAACCTGTTGAGCATGGACCAGCTGTAAAAGACAGATCCATTTGCCTTCTAGACTGGAGACAGTCCAGTGCAGTAGATAACAAGATGTAAGTTGTAAGTTGTCTCCTATCAAATCATCTGTACTGGAAATGACTTGTAAATTAATCCTTGTCATGTAGATAGTCTTGTCTATGTGGGTGGCTTTTTTAGTTTCATAAAAAATAAATTAAAAAATATTTTTTTACATGAAAGTTCTTTGAATTCTTATTAAAGGATTTCCCCATACAGAATGCATTACAGTGTGTCTTCAGTGTGTCTTCAAGGATTCTGCTTGTTCTGTTGTACTGTAACCATTTTAAGGGACAGGGGCACTGAACATGTGCGGAGGGCCTTTCCCTCAGCTACAACCTGCCTTTGCTCCTAAAAAACACACATAATTTTGTGGCACTTTGATGGCTGACAGATTAATTGCATCATATGCCTGTGTGGATCTCTTTCATCTCTTTCATCAGCTGCATTGAAAAGAGCTCAGTATACATCGTAGACATACAAAATACAGGCTTACAGAAGAGTAACACCGTGTAGAGACGCAATGATTCCAAAAAAGCAGCTGGGTTAGTCTGTTGCAACCCAAATAAATGGGAGTCTTCTGGCTCTGTAAAGTTTAAAAGAGTTAATTTTTGCAGGCTGGAGTCCGCTTTGTCAGATGCGAGGAGGGGGTCATAGCATGGAAAACATTTATATATGAAGAACTTAAATAGCCCTGTTAGAAAGCGATGAAACACAAGCGGGATGTAATTATGTAAAGTTCAAAAAGAGGGAGTAAAAGTACAGATACCACGTTAGTAATCAGTGCAATTTCCCTGGTCTGCTGATCAACACCAACAGTGGCTGAGCAATTTCGGGCTCAGCTAAGTCAATTCATGTCATTCACAATAGCTGAAACTGGTGATAGCCATTTCTCTTTATTTAGGTAGGTTGTTCTATTTATTTAGGTAGATCTATTCCCAGCTTTTCTTTCCAATGGAGACCCAAAGCAATATACCATATTGTTCTCTCTTCCTTCATATATCCTCACAATAACAATAACCCTGTGAGGTAGGCTAGACTGAGAGAAAGAGGTCCCTCATGAGCTAGGGATTTGAACCTCGCTCCACTCCCTCAGAGCCTTGTGGGATGCTAACTTCAGCTATGCTGATTTCCTTAGCACTTTAAGACTGTGGAGTAAAAAGTCTAAATGTTCACATTCCCTCTCCCCCCACATGTGAAGCAATATTGGGTTGGGTGGAGGGGTTAGGACTTAAGCCCTTGAGTACTAATTAGGAAGAATTAACCTAATTCTATGGAGAGGAGGGTAACAGGAGGGTGGCCTCTTTAAAAAAAACACCAACGGCTGCTCTGGAGCTCCCTTCCCTGGCTGTGACTGTGGTTGCTATGGCAACAGTTGCTGCCTGCTGCTAACTGTACTCTTTGCCCAGAAGTGTAGCGGGAGTTCAAAAAGAAGACCTTTTAGTAGTAGTTTTTACTTTTGTAAGTAAGAGATGGGTATAACATTTCCATGCCTGAGAGAGGCACCCTTTTGGCAGCAGCTAGAGAGAAAAGTGTGTGTGTGTTGGGATGATTTTGTGTGGAATTCTATTTATGTTAACTGGGAGTGAATTTTGGTCGACATTGTTATCTCTCTCTTTTCTTTCCCTGCTTGAGCTGTCAGACTGCAGGAAACCTTGATTTTGGTCTAATTTTAGCAGCAGCAATGGGCAAAGATAAGAAGAAAAATGGCAAAAAGGGAGAGAAAGGAGCCCTGGCTGTCGTCCATGAACCTGTTCGGGAGTCTGCTGTTTCTCTGCACTCCATGGCAGTGCCTGGCGGTCAGGCTGAGGATCAGCAGGCCAGCTCAGGACCCCAGGAAGAGCCCAAACCCTTTGAAGAGCCCCCACCCGTTGAACCGGTGGAATACGAAGAGCCCGTTCTCACCCGACTCATTGTAGAATGGTAAAACCGGAAGCTTGCTTTGGGTCATGCTCTGAGGTCAAATTCATACGTGCTGCTTGAAAACGGGTATTTATTGCATTTGCTTAGGAGGAGGCTCTCAAGGCATTGTTCTAGGATTCTCTAGTTTATCCTTGCAACAGCCCTGTGAGGTAGGCTGAGAGTGTGATTGGCCCAAAGTCGGCCAGCAAGCTTTCTGGAAGAGTGGGCGACTTGAACACAGGTCCCTCAGATCCTAGTTGTACAATTTAACAGCTGATAGTGCGTCATTTGACAACCTTGCTTAAAGCTAAAGGAATCTGAATCCAGTCAATGGTGTGATGGGAGAAAACCCCATGTATTCTGCCTTGCGTTTTATGGAAGGAAGGCAAGATATAACTTGAACAAATAAAGCTTCCTTCCAAACTCCTTCCTGCTGCTTGAATGCACATTTAAAAGAAAGCTGTATCAGGAGAAGGGTTGTTTGGGTCGAAGAAAGTGTTGTGAGAACTGCACAAATGAAAAAAAAAAATACTAAGCGTAGCTTCATCCCACAGCACTGTTGTAAGAAAAGGTGCTTTCATTATTTACATTCCTCATCCATGCTCATAAGCGTTTTGTTTACTCATTATACTGACTTATTCATTGTTAGCTTTCATCTTTAGCTTGTTTTCTCTGTAGCTATGAAGGAGAAAAAGTCCATGGATTGTATGAGGGAGAAGGACTAGCGAAATTCCAAGGAGGAAATCTATACCAAGTGAGTATAATGCTGGGGTATGTACATTATCTTGACAGGCATTAAGTGTAATGGTCTGGTTTAATCCCTTGGACTGGGGAAATGATCTCATGTGATGACTTTTCCCTCCTGTGGTGATTTTCTTTGGGGAGGGGGTCAGAACACTGTATTTTTCAATAGTGTGCTCGATGGCAGTTTTGCAACACTGATATGCTGCTTTCAGGAACATGGCCAGTTACTGCTTTTTCATATAAGGGATACAGGAGGAGCCAGGCCCCGAGTACAAGCTGCAATAACAATTAGTGGTTGGTTGTTCATTGCACCAATTGTGCATCTTTCTGATAAGTTGCTCTAAAAATATTTCTTGTCTCAGCACTGAGGGAGTCTCAGGTCATGTCTGCTGTTCCCAGAGCCCCACAGGTGTGAAATAGCATTTATGTACGGTAGCCAAAAACCGGGTCATTCAGCAAATTACCTATGTGAGTGAGACCACTAAGGGTACATTGTGGATCCTAGTTAAATCTTTAACCATTTGAACACAGAGTTACCTCCTGAAATCAGGTTGGGCATTTGGCTCTGACCACAGTTGAGTTTCGTATATTAGAACAGTCTGGCACATTCTATATTTTTAGGTAGAGTCCCTGAAGTTCTGATGAGTTTTGAAAGCGAGAGTGCATATTGGGTCTCACTAATCCCTTAAGGCACCACTCATTTGCATTAAGTGATCCCAATTCTCACTGAAGGGCACCAGAAGATAGATCCCTTACTGGGTCAGGTATTTAGTCCAGCGGCATTCTCACTAAAATTCAAGTAAGCACTATGAGATCCACCACACAGAGGCCAGCGATCCTCTTGGTGGACTACAGTCTAACTTTGTTACCTACCTTTGGAGTAGAGGAACAGTTCAGGATAAGAAAAGTATTTGTTCCAAGGTTTGGTATCAGAGTTAAAAGGAGGGTTCTTTTGCTATTGATGGTTGCAGGACTT